CATTTGCCTGTGAGCCCATCTACGTGGGAGGCATAGGTAGGAGGATCTGGATCTGAGGCCTCCCTGAGCAAAAATGTATCTGAAAAGTAACCAAAGCACAAAGGGCTGAGGGCATGGCTCAAGTGATAGAGGGCCACGCACAAGGTTTCTAGTTCAAACCCCAGTAGCATAAAAGAATTAAGGCTAGTACAATTTTTATTGATGTTCCTGTCCTGGAGAGGTCTGGAGGTGCTGATGTTAGTTTAAGATAAGTAAACAAAGTCAGAACAGTTAGGCGATACCCCAAGTTCACAGACTTGGTAAAAGGAAGAGTTCGAATTTCAACTATTTCCTTCCCCCAGTCCAACTTGAGCTCACTGAAGGCTCCACCACCTCTCAACAGCACCACCCAGTAGACAGACCTGGAAGGACCCTCATGCACACCTGAGCAATGGTTTCAGACTCCAGACAAAGGAGCCCCTTACATTCTTGCAGAATTGATTTATTTTTGTCTTCAAACTAAAGAAACTCCTGGAACCAGGGATGAGCAGGACGGGAAGGGTAATCTAGAATCTTGGTGGAGCAAGAACCATCAGTTTGCAGCACTAGAGAGTACTGGGGAAACTGAGTCACACCAGTACCTCAGTGCTGCCTTCAATCTGAGAGCATGGTCCCTACCCACCAACCTGCAGGCTGGGCCCCACTATGTGGTGTGATCCAGAAAACCCTTCATCTGGATTCCAGCAGCCCAGCTGCTCTGCAGGGGGCGGAGTCTGGTGAATTCCTAGAAGAGTAAAAATAAACCTTTCCTAAGCATTATTCAATTAACACTTCTTAGAGCATTTTGTGAAAATTGAAACTCTAAGATAATTGTTGATTTTTTGATGATTTATGTAAAGAATTTCATCTATGATCTTTTTTTTTTTTTTTGTATTGGGGTTTGAACTCAGGGCCTTCACCTTGAGCCATTCTACCAGCCCTATTTTGTGATGTCATGGAAGTATTTGCCCAGGCTGGCTTTGAACCATGCCTGCCGCTTGAGTAACAAGGATTACAGGCATGAACCACTGGCGCCCAGTTCATCCATGTCTTTTAACTGGTAAAATGAAAGCTCTTTATTTAATGATAGGCTGAAGCTTTAAAAAGAAAATAAAGATAGGGTGTCTTGAAGGTATTTTTCTCTGCTCTCAACCAAAGGTCAAGAAGAAGTTTCTTGGACTCTTCTTGGTTCCATTCCCCTAATCTAGGTTGCCTCACACACACAGTTATGTCTGTAGTAGATACAAGATAACCCATTTCTTTTTTTAATTTTTTTTTATTATTCATATATGCATACAAGCCTTGGGTCATTTCTCCCCCCTGCCCCCACCCCCTCCATTACCACCCACTCCGCCCCCTCCCTCTCTCCCCCACCCCCTCACTACCCGGCAGAAACTATTTTGCCCTTATCTCTAATTTTGTTGAAGAGAGAGTATAAGCAATAATAGGAAGGAACAAGGGTTTTTGCTGGTTGAGATAAGGATAGCTATACAGGGAGTTGACTCCCTTTTAAGGTATCTGCTTTAGTTTCTCTGCGTTGAGGGCAACAAATGCTAGCTAGTTTTTTAGGTGTCTTACCTATCCTCACCCCTCCCTTGTGTGCTCTCGCTTTTATCATGTGCTCAAAGTCCAATCCCCTTGTTGTGTTTGCCCTTGATCTAATGTCCACATATGAGGGAGAACATACGATTTTTGGTCTTTTGGGCCAGGCTAACCTCACTCAGAATGATGTTCTCCAATTCCATCCATTTACCGGCGAATGATAACATTTCGTTCTTCTTCATGGCTGCATAAAATTCCATTGTGTGTAGATACCACATTTTCTTAATCCATTCGTCAGTGGTGGGGCATCTTGGCTGTTTCCATAACTTGGCTATTGTGAATAGTGCCGCAATAAACATGGGTGTGCAGGTGCCTCTGGAGTAACCTGTGTCACAGTCTTTTGGGTACATCCCCAAGAGTGGTATTGCTGGATCAAATGGTAGATCAATATTTAGCTTTTTAAGTAGCCTCCAAATTTTTTTGCAGAGTGGTTGTACTAGTCTACATTCCCACCAACAGTGTATGGGGTTCCTTTTTCTCCGCATCCTCGCTAACACCTGTTGTTGGTGGTGTTGCCAATGATGGCTATTTTAACAGGGGTGAGGTGGAATCTTAATGTGGTTTTAATTTGCATTTCCTTTATTGCTAGAGATGGTGAGCATTTTTTCATGTGTTTTCTGGCCATTTGAATTTCTTCTTTTGAGAAAGTTCTGTTTAGTTCACTTGCCCATTTCTTTCTTGGTTCATTAATTTTGGGAGAATTTAGTTTTTTTAAGTTCCTTATATATTCTGGTTATCAGTCCTTTGACTGATGTGTAGCTGGCAAATATTTTCTCCCACTCTGTGGGAAGATAACCTATTTCTGAACACTGAAAAAATGCACAAATCACATTTGAAGAGAATCCTGACGGATACCAGAAGCTTAAGCAAAAATATTTGTTTACTGTCTAGGTATTTTTGCAGAAAATTCATTCTTGGGTCTTCATCTCAGTAGATGATGTAACCAGAGGGTCACAAGACACAGAGCATAGCCTGTGCCCGAGGACTCAGAGCAGGGTTTGACCTGCGAGAAGCAAAGCGCTCTCTTGCAGAACAGAGCTCGTTGGCCAGGCTAAGAGCAGGTCGTGGACATTGAAATTCATGTTTCTGGTCAAGCCCAGTTTTCTCCCTCCACTCACCCCTTACAAACCAGAGCAGAAGAAAGAACAAAGGCATTGGGGAAGGGGGGTGTCCCAGAATTGGTTCATGACCTCAGCTGGAACAGGGGACTGTCCCTGAGCAAGGGACACACCTCCCTTGAAACTCTTCTATCTACCACTTTCACAGTGGGGTCTATGCCAGTGTGTACCCCTCCGCCCCCTAACAGAGTTCCAACCTCCTCTCTCCCCAAAATGGACAGAGGGGGAGGAGAGGAATAGCATCGATCCTGTCCTGATTGCTCTAGGACTGTGTAAATGTGTGACCGCTCCTGGACGCTTTCTGCGGTGCACATGGAACAAGAGAGTGCAGGCATCTGTGACCTGTGAGGTGCCCAAGGGCAGGGCTGTCCCTGCTCATTCTGATGCACCCTGTCTGCTCCTGTGTCCACTCCCCTCTGACATCCCAGGGAACACAGAGGACTTAGGGTGGCTTTCACAGTCTCCTTGCTTCTTCTTTCTGGCAGCATCGTAACCATTGCTATTCAGGTGTCTAGTGACAATGAATGGGAGTCTAACTGTGGCACCAAGGTTGCCACCCCAGAGCCAGCAGGGGGCCCCATGTCCTATGAGAATGCTGGCTGCCACCTGGAGGAGAGGCAGCTCACAGCATGGTGCATGTCTGTCCAGGGCCTTGGAATTCAATAGGGAGGAAGCCAGGTCCCCCCCTGCAAGTGACTGGCAGGCATTTCATCTGTGGAAAGAAGTGAATCAGTAGTGCCCTGCTGTGAGCCTCACATCGATCACATCTTGTTTCATTTCTGTGTGACACGATTTGCAGGGACATTCTGGCATCTGTGCCTGCTCAGCCTCTACTTCTTGGCTAGGGAGTATTGTTGCCGCTTAGGTAATTACTAGATTTGCAGCCTGCTCCAAGCCTTCTTTCCCTTTTCACAGCAGAATAACCAGAGATCTGCTTTCTAAAGAAGAGAGATTGGTGTTAGAAGGGTTTCCAAGCCTCTGAGAAGAGACAGAAAGAGGACAAAGGAGAGCTTGGGGTGGGGAGGGTGCTGGACTCAGCCCTGAGATCCACTGCCCATGTTAGAGTGGCACTTGGCTTCCCAGTCACTCCTGCTCCCAAAGGTCACATCTGGCCACTTCAGCTGAAGGCCCTACCTGGGCCCCGCCATCATCATACCAACATCCCCTTCACAGCCATACTACTGTGGGCTTCTAGAAACCGTGAGGTTTCCTGAATTAATGTGGAAACCCAAGCTGTGCTCTGGCATCCACCTGGGAACAGCAAACCAACACCAGAGTGAGTTATTTCTCAGGAACACAGTTAGTTACTTTCTCCCTGTAAATTGTCCCCAAAGGACAATGGTGTGTTGTTTTCACAAGCTCCACCAATCCCCTTGTGTGAGGCTCCTCGATAGGTGAGAGGGCCTGAGAGATGTCCTGGGGGCAGCAGATGGAGGAGGGGAAGAGCCCATTCCTGGCTTAATGAGCCCTTTGGTCAGCTGAGCATGGATTTCATGGGTGATTTGGGGGAAAAAATTGACTTGGGTCATGCTTTGTACCAGGTAGTCCAAAAACCAAGATGACTCCGTGGTCCCATTACAGTCCCAAGACCAATATCCTTTTCTTAATAGGGAGTTAGGGCTCGAGACACTACAGCTAGAGAGAGACCCTGGTCCCCTAGTCATGTTGCACCATGTGACCAAAGCAATGGTTTTTCACCGTACCTCAGTGGCTTTTTGATGTTGTGCATACAGGTCTCCTGGGAAGGAGAAGTGTCTCCTTGGCCAATTATCACCTTTTGGAACCTCCTGCAGTCCATCCTTCAGTTAGGAAGACTGTGTTTTGAACAAACTTTTTAGGCAATATATTGGTGCGTTTTAGAGACGTTCACTTAATACACTCTCATTTCGGAGAGCAATGCCGGCTCTGTTTTCTGGCATCGGTGGCTATGAATATGAGGGAATATCAGAAGCGGTGTTTGTCTTTATTACAATCTGCTTCATGTGCCAGGCATCTTGAACTTGGATGTACACAGATAATAATTGTCTATCCTAGACAACTGCCTTGGATGGCCTGGGTCAATTCCCAGCAGGTGACAACTCTCTGAACCTTCCTTCTGCATCCTGCACTCTCCAGCCAGCATCCTGAGGGCATAGCATGTAAACACGATCATGGACTGTTTTGGAGCTTCCCGCAGTCTAAAAGGACGGGCAGAATTAACTCTATCTGAAAATGACAAGTCAAGTCCACTCCCCAACTTGGGAATTATGGAAACATTTGCTTTCAGTACATTAAATCAGCAGCCACGTTACTTGTTTCTGTTTCTTTAGATTTTGTAAAAGGGAACTGAAATCCAGCAAGTCGTATGAGAAGCCCGTTCAGAAAATGAACAAAAAAACAAATAAAAACAACCCAGAACGAGGTGGTATATTTTTCACTTTGCGTTTTGTAGGTGTAAGTCCCTTCTTTAAAATTGGCGATTTTTTCTGAGAGGTGGTGGATTTTCACTTCAGAAGCGAACAAGATCATGACCAGACAGCCACAGGACCCTGCAACAGAAGGAACAAATATTTCCTGACTGTAGGCGACAGGGAAGGGGCCAATGAGCAAACCAAAGAAAACCCTTTACCTTCATGTTGGGAGCCATGAGCCTCAATCTGACAAGGTCGTTGCGGCTTAGCAGGAGCCTGACAAGGTCAGGAACTGCAGGTGCACCACGTCTCTCTGAGGTTTTGAGGGAACATGGAGAGGCTCCCTTTGTCTGGAGAAAACATTAACCTGAAGGTATTTGTTTATGAAAGATTAGGAACAGGGCACAGGCCCCTGGCAATGAGGCCCGAGTTTTATGTATGTGAAGCCAAGTGAAGCTAGATGAAAACAGGGAGGTTTGGGTGTCGTCATTGAAACTGGGAGGGTCCGCGTTTCGCTTGTGTAACCTAGGAGATGGGAGCAAGGACATTGTTTTTCAGGTGGAGGGCATTGCTTCACAGGCCTAGAAGTTTTTCTTGCGTTGTATAACTTCCTACTTTGCTGCTTAAAAAGCCTGACGCAAAAATAAAAATTTGCCAGTTAGGTCACCAGCCTTCTGGTCACGTGTCTCGTCATTCCCTTCCTGAGTGAGTGAGTCCTTTCATGTGTCTTGTGTCTTCAGTCCTTTCTTAGGTAAATTCGGGTCAGGGACCCTCGAGATCCGGCACCTTCACCCTCCTTTTCATTCTTCTGCAGAAATATATTACCGCAAACGTGTGACCACAAGTCTGATTTTCCAACCCAGAGTGGGGGTGCTTGGGTTGTGGCTCTGAGTGGGGAAGACTTGTGTAGGGGAAGGTGTTTGGGGGGCTGGTGGGGTGGTTAGAATCAAGCTGTCCTTACAAAGACCAGTGCCTGAATCACTGGGTGCCTTAAAAGCACAATGCGAAATCAGGCTACAAAGCAGCCACTGCTCTGATGGCTTCAAGAGGACACATTTCTCTGAACTTCACAGGCAGTGCAGGACAAATGCATTATGTAGCCCCTTGTGACAGGTGCCAGCTCTCTCTATAGGGTTACCACGACCCCTGCAGCTCCCAGCTGGCCACAGTGGGCCAGAGGAGATTCTGGGCAAAGGTAGCTGTGTGTAAGGGGCTAGGGTTGAGGCACTGCATACCTGCTGTTTTTTGGTTTTTGGCTTTTTCTTGGCAGTACAGGGATTGAACTCAGGGACTAGTGCTTGCACTCCACCAATGAAGCCACACCCTCAATCCCTTCACTTGTATTTTGTTTTTGAGACAGGCTCTCACTACCTTTTGCCCAGGATCACGATCCTCCTACCTCCATGTCCTGAGTGGCTTGGATTACAGATGTATACCACCATGCCCAGCCTGCCTGTTTGTTTGTTTGTAATCAAATTCAGACTTTTCGCTGGGCATGTGGCTGCCTTGAATATAGACATTCAGCTGGGATGAGGGTGACTGGGATGTAGGGGCAGGAAAAGTTTCCTTGGAGTATACCATGACACCTCCTCTTTCTACTAGCTGAAATACAGCTGTAATGGCTCAGCAGACACTTTGGACCAGGTGGCCTCAGAAATGTTGGCTATGTACCACGGAGAAACAGGAGGAAGGACCGGACCCCAGATCCCTGGACCCAGACTAGCCCTGCACTTTAACTCCCAGTTTCCATGTCTGAGGAACGTGGACATTTATTTTGCTTAATCACCTGTTACTATTTCCCCATCATTTAGCATTGACGGTAGCCTAATGTGACCTTGACCATGTGGCTGGCCTGGGTAAGACCTCAACAGGACAGGGCCACCACACACTGCATGGACCCCGGATGGGATGTCACTCTGATGTGACATCTCCACTGAGGATGAAGGAACAGAGACCCCCTGCTAGGTGGATGGCTCAGGGACAGAAGCCAGTGGTAAGGAGCCAGAACAGAGACAGTGGACGACCAGGACCGGCTGGGCTTCCATGGCAACTCCTGTATCCAGGCTGCCACATGGGGTTCCAGTTAACATGAGACTGGCTGAGATGGTTTTCTGACTTGGGTCAAACTAATCTGGGTTCAAATTCTAACCCATCATTTTTTATGTGAGTTGGGCCATTGGAGTCCCAGGTCTCAGCTGCTGACCTATAAAAGGTGGTTAATATAGATACTGTGTGGTTAACTTTGGCACTGGAAAAGCCATGAGAATGTCACAGCCTGTACGGCAGATTAAAAAAAAAAAGATAAAAAGTCTATGGCTTTTAGCTATCCCTTTTTACTTCCAAGTCCCTCCCCTACCCCGGAAAACCTGACTACATCAGTGTAGACCCTACAAAATGTACTACAGAGTCCCGCTCCCCCAAACAGTCTAGCATTAAGTGTGTGGCCCCTGCAGGAAGGCTGCATGCTTTTTGTTCTTCAATTACAGTTAATTCAAATTCCCTGGGAGCAGCGCACAGCAGTCCCAGTTCCCATTCGTTAGTTCTTTCATTCCCAGGCTCAGGGATGAACAGTGGTTGAAATTCAAACATTGAAGAAAATGCACGTGTTTTTCTGTTCTCAGAGTGTGATCGAGTGGGGAACACAAAGCAATTATGAAGCTATATTAGGAAGTGTGGGGGATTCAGGGTGCTGTTGCCAAGAGGGTGGCAGCTTCCCTTCGAGCACCTGAGAGAAGCTGTAGGAAAACTTAGCCGAGCAAAGGGGGCTGGACGGTGTAGGAGAACCCAAAAGGCCTGGGGTATTCAGTGTACGGAATACCTCGGTTCCTTTTGCAAAAGTCAGGTTTGGGGGGATACAACCCTGATCACACAGGGTTGGGGTGAGGCAGGGTGAGCAGAGAAGGTGAAATCACATTTGTGGTACTTTTTCTTTGGTTTCAGGGTTGGAACCTAGGGCCTGTGCAGGCTAGGCAAACGCTGTACCAGTGAGCTACATCCCGGCCTTTGATTGGCTTGAGATAGGGTCTCACTAAGTAGCTCAGGTTGGCCTCAACTCCCTATGTGGCTGTGGCTGGACTCTATGTCTCAGTCTCCCAAGTGCTGGGATTATTGGTGTGACCACCACACTCGGCTGTTTCTTTTTCTTCAAAGTTTCACACAGGACTGGCCTCATCAGCCTCCTTATCATCATACAACATCCCAAGTAAACAAAGGATACAGATTTCTTGAAGCTTCACTTTCTACCAGCCTCAGAGTGGTGGTCGAGACCGTTCTTTTGTAAGATTTGTCAGCCTAAGTGTTTTTGCATTCTGAGCTCTAAATCACAGCCCTCCCCTTGCAAAACCATCCTATTCCTTTATTGTAAGATCCTAAGAAAAAAGACCGAGATGCTATTTTCTCTTTATCTTTTATTTGAAAATTGCAGAGAAGATGCCATTGCTTTTACCATAAGAGCTTTCTTTGTCTGAGAAGATGGTGAGTTTCAGACAGCAGTGAAACACTATTTCTTTAGTGCCTGCAAGGAAAATTCAAGCTCGGTTTCCTTCTAAAGTTGTTAAATATTTTAAAGGTGCTACTTTGTTAAGGAGACAGAATCACCATCAGACTGCATTTGACATTTCTTGAGTAAAAGTCATTGGGCTGTCTTGAGACGACAGCCTTGGCGTAGGGAGTATGTTAAGGCCATGAGCTCCGGACAGTGCGTGATCGGACAGAAAGGATGGTCTCAGATTCCAAGTCGCTAGAATCGGGTTGACCGTGAAGTCAGAGGTCAGAAACCAGCCTGAGAGCCAGGGATAGGGTTCAAGTGGTAGAGGACCTGCCTAGCAAGTGTGAGGCCCTGAGTTCAAACCCCAGAACTACCAAAAAATAAAAACTAGAAAGAAAGAAACGGCAACCTGAGTCTCTGACAACCTTCCCATGACTTCTAAGAAAGGAGCAGGGAAACAACTCATGTGAATTGGAGTTTTTGCTTTTTTCTGTCCATGGCTCTGAAAGGATGAGGATAAAGGATCGCTGTTTCTGACCTATGACCAAAAGATACACGTGCAGACTGTCCCTGCGTGGCCTGGCTGCTGGGATGTGGATCGAGATGCGTGAGGGATGTTGGTGATAGTGCCGGTTGCCAGAGTGTCCCTCTGGCTAGTGCCCATCCAGAGATGGGCTTCAGCTTTGGGGGATTTTTCTTGGTTCCTCCTGAGTCCCCTCTCCCGTCCCCCACACACAGGAGAAGTCAGGGGACTGTGCCCATTGGAGTGCCTGCTCACATTCTAGACAATTCTTCTGGGGTCCTGGAAGCCTCCCCTCAAAGAGCCATGAGTCCATTTCCAGAGCCTACTTGAGCATCTTCCTGGGATCAATCCTACTCAGGCAGATTCGTGGTTGTTGTGTAGCCCCGACAGCTGTGGGGGGCCCAGGGTCACACTTGGATAAGCAGGGGGAACAATCAGCCCTTTGCTGGGAGTGGTGGAGCCAGGAAGGGTAGGAGTGGGAGGACAGGGGCGACCTGGCTTCTGCCACCACACTGGGGTGCAGCATTGCTAGGGTCAAAGATGCTCTGTCTGAATCTGGCCCTTCAGGATCTCCTGCAGGTGTTTCCCAAGGTAGAAGGCTGAGCACATTGCACTGACCAGTTTTATTGGTTTTAAACTTTTTAATGTTTGGGTTGTCATTCATACTCTTTCCAAAGGCATCACAATGCTAAGGTGGGGCCAGCATGCCTCTCCTTATTTTCTCGGCGATTCGTGTAAAGAAAACCCAGGTGGAGCCATTGGGACAGATTCCCCAAATGTCTGTCCTTCTGACCAAACTGCCCTGTTCCCAGAAAAGTTCAGATAAACTGGATTTTGAAAGGCTGCTGAGCCTTGCTCACACTAGAATTTGGAATATAACAAGACACAGGGGACTCGTTTGCTGCCCAGCCTCGTTCTCAATGACCTGAGGCCATTTTCCTCTCATCCGTCTGATTTCCCCACCATCTGGCTGGTGCTATAGTTGTCCCCCCCTCCCCCATAATGACTTTGATTACTGAGTTAATTTCTGACTGAATAGGATAGCTGAGTTACAGGGCTGTCACACCATGAATGATCAGTCAATTAACAAACAATTGCACACTCATGACTCTCCTCTGGCAGCTGCCGGGACTACAGTCCATGTCTCCTCTGGTCCTTACCACATGGTGAATGCAGCACAAGGCCAGAAAGAGGGTTGCTTCCTCATTCCCCTCCCCCTTCATGGCCCTGAGCCTAACTACACTTTTGTGGGTGGGAACACCCGCCAGGATCTGTGGTGCTGAGGTCCTCGTAGGTGAAGGAATCTCTGAAATGCCACCCAAAGCCCACATTCTAGAAAACAGTAAATTAGAATTTCAATCTCCCCTCAAGTAATGACCAGCATTTCAGAATGAGAACACACCATCTTTCAACTCTCTTACAGGTGACAAATGTTAGAGGCATTCCATTTCCATGCAGAATGACAAATTGATCACTTCCCTCTCAACAGATGATGAATGGAGGGGGGGAGCCACAGCTCTGCAGGTGTACTACTAATTTTCTGTGAAATTATGCAACCTCACTAGAAAGTCAATAATCGAGGGTGAGCTTGCCAGCGTTTCCGACTCAACGCTAGGAACAATGGCTACCACCTAGGAGCGGGGGCAGAGGAACCTGATACCCTAATTGTAGAATTTGAGGTTGTGATAAAACAATTTGGTCATGTGCTTCCCCGGAATAGAGATAAAAAAAGGAAGAAAACCAGTCAGTGTCCCTATAAGGGACATTCGAAGAGCCCACCTCTAATCTAAGTTTTCCAAATGTCATGTTATTTTTAAGGGTGGTTAGTACAACGAAGACCTGGTCTGAAGACACAGTGCATTTCTAATGTGAATGGATTTTAGAAGAAGAATGTCATTTGTTACCAGGAAATATGCAGAATGCCTCTGTTTCATTCACTTATTCCACAACAGTTCTCAGGTAATATTCTGGACTCTGGGGGTCCATTACTGTGCAAAACAGAAAAAAACCCAAGCTCTCGGTGGAAAAGATGAGAGAGAGAGAGAGAGAGAGAGAGAGAGAGAGAGAGAGACGTGATAACAGAGTAAGTAAGTGCAGCCTATAGTGGACCAGTGTGACACGTGTAAGAGAGCAGGGCAGGAGGTAGGAAGCCCGGGAGGGTGGCCAGGGAGGCCCGAGGAAGAAACAAGCTTTCGGGAGATATTCAGAGGAGAGTGGATATTTGGAGGGATCTCATGGTGAAACGATAAGTGCAAAGGAGCCAGGTGGCTTGAGCAGAGAAAGAGGAGGGGACAGAGTGGCAAGAGGTGGGCTGCCCATGTGTTTCCTGAGCTGTCACGGTGTGTTTCTGCAATGGACACAATACATGGCTTTGGCTCTCAATGAAACAGACGGGAGGGCAGACTCTGAATGGGGCGGGAGTCTGCAATCCTGGCAGACCTTCCACAAGGTCACGGCGGAGTCCTGCGCAAAGTAAGTGAAACACAGTCCTCCCACCACTTCCTCCACTGCCTTTCCCTGCTACCTGCATTTGAAAATGAAATTCCTTGCTCTCTGCCATCGGGGCCATCCTTCGTGGCCTCTTTTCTCAGGTCTGTCCTGAGACTGGTAGAATATTTATTTCCCTTGCTGCCTTCATGCCTGGACATCCCGATCTTCTTTCTCAGCCTCCTGAACAACAGCACCCCCCTAAGGACTGAGGTGGAAACAAGGTGCCACCTTTTATTTCCACAGAACATGTCCTGGATGTGTAATGCATCTCACAGATGCCAGGGTACCATTCGTGCTGACGTTGATACATAACGCAAGCACACTTCTATTTTTGTGCTCTGCTTTATTTCCCTGTCTTCATGTTTCACATGACTGTGTCATAGTTGTAATTATCATAATTAATTAGACCCATACTAGGAGAACCCCCTTTCAAAGAACGGCAGCAGTTTTATTTGCTTCCCTTGCTCGGTATAACTCAAAACATGATGCCATCCGTAAGAGAAGACATAATAATTATAGTTTGTAGCCAGGCCAGAGTTGGGGTTCATCACCCCCAGCAGATCTGAGCCATCCTCAGTGAAGGTTCGCCATGAAAAGTCTCCCGTGGAGGCCAGGTTGGCCTCTGGCAACACCTGGGAAGTTGGAGTATGGCAGATGTGAAGGCCCACATTGAAAGTAGGGGGTCCAGTAGCTTCTGTGCTCACCTCCTTCTTTTCTGGTCCCTCTCTTTCTCTACCTCCTTCATTTATGAGCATTTCTCTGTCTCTCCCGTTCTATCCCCTGCCTGTTTCCCCGCTTGCTCTCATGGTGGCCACCTTCTTACAAAGGTCGCTGGTCACTGCTCCTGTAGAACCCTCCCCTCCTGCGGCCTCTGGAACACCACTTCCTCTTCCTCTTTGGAAGCTCCTCATGGCCCCTCCTCCTCCTCACCAGACAACAACTGATGATGCTCTTTGGGACTGGTCCTGGCCAGTTTGTCTCTGTGTTCCCTCTCTCCATGCTGCCTTCCTTGGCTCTTGTCTGTTGTCATCAGTCTATATAATTTTGATATCCCCAAAACACCTAAGCTGTTCCTTGTCTGGACCATCTCTGAGCTCCAGACTCACACATCCAACTGTCTCCTTAGCATCGCCACTTGGATATTGCATACCATCTCAGAGTTGACATAAAACACCTGGTTTCCTGAGCCAAGTTCCTCTCTAGATTATCTTTGCCCTGAACTGAAGGCCTACTGTTCCTCCCCTTGTCTACCATCTTTGTTAATGCCGCCAGCATCTATGAGTCATGTGAGCCACCTGCAAAACGCCCTGTGTCACCTGCAGAATGTCTTCAGAACCTGTCCATCCCTCTCCATCTCCAGTAACAACGTCATTGTCCATCAGACATTTCTTAAAACCTCTCAAAAGCTCTCACCACAGTTAGAACCAGTTCTGAAAGTCACCCGTGGCTTTTGAGGCCCAGTATCGGCTGCATCAATTGATCTCTACCCTCATTTTGGAAATTGATTAATTAATTCTGCCATTTCCTCTCACTGCCTACTCTGAGCCATGCTGACCTTCTTTTGGCTCTTCCAGACAGCTGACCTCTTTTCCTAGAGGCCTCACCTGTGCTTACTGCTCGACTGGGGAAGTCCTCCCAGGGTTCTCAGCTCCTTCATATCTTTAGAACTCAGCTACTTGAAATAGTCTTCCCTGACCACATCTCAAAGCCTGGTCCCTTCTAGGTGTGGTGGACACCTCAGTAATACCAGCTATTTGAGAGACAGAGGCAGGAGGATGTCAGCCCAGGTAAAGTTAGCAAAACCCTATGTCAAAAACAAAATACAGGCCTTGTGCAGTGGTACATGTCCATAATCCCTGCTAATTAGGAGATAGAAGGATTGTAGTTTGAGAACAGCCAGGCAAAACTTAATCAAGATGCTAACTCAAATAACAAGCGTGGGCGTGGTGGTTCACTGCTGTAATTCCAGCTATTCAGGAAGCTGAAGATAGAAAAATGAAAGCATAAAAGATTGGGGGTCTGGCTCAAGTGGTAAGCAACTCAATTAGCAAGTTCGAGGCCTTGAGTTCAAAACCCCAGTACTGTCAAAAAAAACAAAGGGGCTTGGGGCGTGGCTCAAGCTGCAGAGCACTTACTGAGCAGGCATAGGCCTGGTGCATCTCCATCGTAGCCATTTGTTTGTGACCTTTACTGTAGTAATTGTGATCTGAGATCATTGATTTGTTTCTGCACACTTCTGTTTGATTGTTCCCTGGATTACTCACTCCCCAGAGACAGGACCATGAGCTGGACTCATGTAGCATCACCCGGCCCATCACAACAGCCAGCACAGAGTGACATGCTGTCAGTTTGCCGAGTAAATGAAGTGTGCACAGCTGCAGCAGTGTCCTCAACACTGCTACAAATCACAATTACTTGAGAGAGCTACAAAACCCCAAACCAGTGCCAAAGCCCTGCTCCCAGGACTGCAACGTGTAGCACCGTGCAGGACCTGGCAGCAGTAATTCTTAGCGCTTCAGGTGATGCTTACATATCATCCAGGAAATCCCTGTCCAAAATGAACAATGGGGAGCCATTGCTGTGTTACCTAAATCCTGTGTGGGGGAAAAGACTTCTCAGAGCTGGTTTATAAATGATGAGCAAGAAAGCAAACAAACTGTCTTGCATGGATCATACAGCAATGATGGTGGCCAGAGTGTCACTTGAGGACAGTGAGCAAAGGGGAGAGCTAGGAGAGGTGGAAGGAATGTTCTGTTCAGGAGAACAACAGGAACTTAGGCTGTAAGCATGGTGACTGAAGCCCACTGGACAACCTGCAGGGTGTCACATACCCACACTGGGAGATACAAGGAGAGGCCCCAAGCATTGCTACTCTGAGAATTGGGAAGACATCCTTTCCCTCCATTTCTTCCCATAATGCTTCATGATGCCCAGGTGGGTCCCTGTCCAGGAGGGAAGTAGATACCTGAAGAAATGGCCTTAGCAAGACTTCAGCACAGAGAGGGAGGCACCTTAGGGAAGCTGGAGGTGAGTGGGAGAAGAAAAAAGAAGGAAGAAAGATTAGTGTGGACGAAGCCCCCATTTTGGCAGTACTGAGGTTTGAAATCAGGTCTTTGCACTTGCTAGGCTGGCGCTCTACCACTTAAGCCACTCTGCCAGCAGGAGGTCCCCATTTTAAGGAGACATGGTGGACAAAGGAATACTGAGGAACAGATGGAATGTGGGGGGCGGGTCAGGCCTCCTGGGGGGCCCAAATGGAGCTTAGTAGATGCTCCTGCCAGGGCAAAATTCACACCATGATCCAAGAAAGAGATGACCAATCAGCAGGGGCCACAAAAAGGGAAACGGCCAATCAAAGGTGGCCTAACATGAGGTATCAAACTTACTCTGTACCCTGTCTCAGTTGTCATCTGTCATTATTAGCCCCCACCCCCATTTTTGGTGGTACTAGGGTTTGAACTCAGGGCCTCACACTTGTTAGGTAGAGGTGCTCTACTGCTTAAGCCAGCTCTATTTTGTGTTGGGTATTTTTGAGATAGGATATCACAAACTATTTGCCTGGGTGTGCTTTGAACCATGACCCTCCTGGTCTCTGCCTCCTGAGTAGCCAGGATTACAGGCGTGAGCCACTGGGGTGCCCATCCACTGTCTCCCCTTTTAATGGCAGCCTAGTAAACCTGCTTTCTCCTACTCTCTGCCTCTGTGAATTCTTTCACCAACCAGCAGTCAGGTGCTTTTCTCCGCTGGCTGTGAATGAGGCCACCTGGGCAGCACACCCTACCTAGCAGGAGAAACAGAGACTCCCCCAGGGTCTCCTTATGGGTGTGACTCGCACCTGAAATAAATGACCCTAAACACTGGCCTCTGCGTGTGTGATTAGCACTATAAACCTGACACGTGCAATCAGAGCTTGGAGCTGGGGTTTGCATGAACTTACAACTTCAGATAAAGGTTTCCAAAACTCCAGGGGCTCCTGGGTGGTGTATGTGGATTTAGGGTAAATGAGGCAGACTATACTTCAAGAGTGATTGGTTTACTCCCAGAAGCTATAAATTGTCAGTCCATCTAACTCTCAAAAGTGTTTGATGGCGTAAACAATTTTATGAAAATTTTGGCATTCAAAAATTAAGGATCGAGGGCTTCAAACACAAACCCTAGGCCTTTACCCCCCGCAAGGCCTTGACCTGGAGCCGGCGTCTCCTCTCCCATCTTCCTTCCTTGATTCACAACCCGTTAAAAGCACCTGCTTTTACAAGTTCAAGATGAGTTAAAACATAGTGCATGCACAGGGTCTGACTGTTCCCAATACAACATGAATGTGTGACCAAGGTCTCCTGGCACAAGACCCGGCCAAAGGCCCAGATAAGGTCTGGAGCTTGGATCGACTCGGTGTTCCCTGAGTTATTTTGCTTTTCAAAGACGTTAGTTTGGTGGTCCATTAGAACCGTCAAATCATTTGTCTTGAAATGCACTGCACTTTTGAATTTTACTCCAAAGCTGGAGTGAGTGCTGGCTGGCTGTCCCAGTTACCATGCTGTGTTGTCTCCACTTCAAACCAACCTTTCTTTTCTCTACCTTGGCTCCAGCTAGTCCTGCCTTGCCAGCTGCTTGGAGGATTAGACCCAGGGAGAGAGAGGACATACATCTTTTACCTGGCTTGTGGTTCCTATCAGCTTTGTCCCCAGAACAGCACTCTCCTAGCTGGCAGTCACGCACTGTACAGTGAGTGTCCTGTACAGGTGCAGTGCCAGCTGTCTGAGGTCTGAAGCTTCAGTGCCTGTTCTCAGTCTTCTAGTTCTGGTTACCAAATTCTTTTGCTTGTTCTCCAAACGCCGGGAACTGTAGCTCCTTCCTGAAATTACCTCTTGAATTTACCTTAGGTCTCCATCTCGTTTGTTCATTCAACTCCCTATTGCACAACCTTGAACTTGCATCAGAATCACCTGGAGGGTGTGGCAAAACGCAGGTGGCTCAGCCACCCCAGGGACTATTGTTCAGTCACTCTGGGCTGTGGCCTCAGAATTTGTTTTGCTAACACTTCCCAGATGACATAGACAGGGCTCTGCCCTAGGCTATATTCCACATTGTTTTCTCGCTGGACCATGATTGACTCAACTGGCCGCCCATCAGTTTGGTTTTTGGACGTTCTCTGCACTATCTGACCCAGACCTGCATGGGAGACTGGGTCACTCTTGGCTTCCCTGCACCTCTTCTGCTCTGGTCACAAAGCCCTGGACTTCCTTTACCATAATCCATGCCCTTCCTGCCTGGCTCGTGTCCTGCTGCTCTGATGATTCCATTTCTTTGGGGCTCTGCTCTCTGGACGTAGTGTTTGAAGCCAATGGATACATATTGAATTGTTTGCTACACTGCTGGATGCTCTTGCCAGAGATGCAAAGTCGAGACAGTCTTAGACTCCGTCCTTAGAGGGCAGTCCTGTGTGTGAAAGAGAAAACGTGAGCAGAACCCTCCTGGAGAAAGGCCTGCTTTGGTTGAGTGAATAATTGGATTAGCAAGGCGTGGGAGGGGAAGACCCTAAGAAGTGTGCACACATGAGAGAGAGTAGGTGTACACGGCCTGCCAAGGGGGGTTAGCTCTGGAGTCTAGATGGGCGTCCATGTAAGTTCATGGCTGGCATTGGATTGTATGGGAGGAGGGAGTTCGGTTAGGAAAAAGAAAGGGACGGCCTGCTGCCTGGTGGCAACTTGGGAGGAGAAGGAAAGCGCTGAACGGGGATTTCATCAGTGTGTTTGTGGGAGAGCCCTAGTCTCTCTCCATTGCTGAACCCATCAGTAAAATACTTGCTTCTTAAACACACGACAAAGTGTTAAAGCACTTTCTACTTTGGAGTGGGGTAAAATCAGAGCCCTCCCACAGCATAGCCACCCAAGAATTATGTTTATACTCATTTTTCAACTTTCTCCTTCCCCTTCTTGCAAATACGGTGTGAGCATCCTGTGGTATGGACTGCATTTCAGTCCTTCCCATCAGCCCTGGTTTATCTGTGAATTAGTGTCTGGGTTTGGAGTTTATCCTTTCCAGATCCACCTAGCATCAGGCCATGCAAAGTTCCTATAGGCCTCAGCGTACACTTGGGGTGGAACACTGGCCCTTCACCCTTCTTCATGGCGTTCCTTTTCTGATTAGGAATAAATAGAAATACACTGTGGAAGATTTACTAATATTGATAACTATGAGCAAAATAAAAATCACCCAGTTTGAGTGTCACTGGTCAGAGACAACTGCAAACCAAAAACTAGTCAACAAATCCATGTTTGTAAATAGCAAACAATTCTCTCACGCTGTCTCTTTCCTCCGTCCACATAAATATAGACTCCATACGCTGATATAGAGAGTATGTGTATATGTATATAATTACAGATACATACGTATTTGTGGATAGAGCATATACAATATGGTCAACTTGCCTTTATATGCATATTTTCTATGCTCTTACAAATATAGTGAAATTGGGTTTATTACACTTATAAAATGCTACTGTATTTTTCACTTAACATTTCAATACAAGCATTTGTCCTCTTGATTTCATCTTCAAAACTATAATGTCAGTATATAGACTACTGTAGTTAATTATTTAATTCTACATTGTTGGATGATTACAGTATTTCTCCACTTTTTGCGAAAATGTTTAATGCTACAGTGATTATCATGTGTGAGTATATGCACAAGTTATATATATACAAGTTATATAAAAATATACACAAATTTATAAACATATATATATAATAACTTATTTCAACAGAACACATTGACACACTGAAGAGCACACCTGTGTTCAGAGGTAGAATTTTGTACTTACCCGAGATGAAGCTCAAAAGGTAGAGCCCGAGTGGACCATGCAGAGATTCGAAGGGTTTGCCAAAAGCGTTGTACATGAAGAAGGCCGCCCCCACCATGGTTAAAACGATCAGGATGATGGAGAAGAAAATGATGTTGACATGAACACTCACTGGGATCGCCTTCAGCAAGTCTGGGAAAACTGAAGATGAACCAGGGAGGAGAAGAATTTTGTCATCGGTCATCCACAAGTGTAATTTCAGAAAACTAAATCCTCTTCTTTTTTTGTTTCATGTCATTAAAATCCTTTTGACGAATACATTCTCACTAATTTACAAGAGGTTTTCAAAAAGATTTAAAGACAGGATCATTTTCGAGAATTCGTCAGTAAGAATGACAAAGTGGAGATTGATCTACTCAATCACGTGTAATTACTTAAATAAATAGCGATAGCTTTATAACTCAAAACTTCATTTAGACGTCCAAATTTTTAATGATATTCCTTAGCAATCATTTTTAAAAATCTATCTAAACTTGTAATGACATTTCAAGCTTAGGGAAGTCTGGGGAAGTTCAAACGTCAGAAGGTTTTTGTATTTCCTTTGTTACAATTTTTTTTGGGGCAGTACTGAGGTTTGAACTCAGGTCTTCATGCATTCTAGGCAGGTGCTCTACAGCTTGAGCCACTCCACCAGGCCTTTTTTATTGTGATGGGCTTTTTCAAAATGGGTCTTGCGAACTATTTGCCCAGGCTGGTTTTGACCTGCGGCCCTCCTGATTTCTGCTTTCTGAGTAGCTGGGATTATAGTGTGAGCCACTGGTGCCCACTTGCTCTGGTTATTTGGAAGTAGGGTCTCGCTTTTCACCCAGGTCGATCTGGGCTGAAATCCTCCTATTTTAACTTCCAGCTCTAGCTGGGATGAGAGGTGTGTGCCACCATGGCCAGCTTTTTCCCACTGAGAAAGGGTCTTGAGGATTTTTTTTGCCAGGGCTAACCTGGAACCACAATCGTCCCTATATCAGACTCCCTTGTAGCTTGGCATGACAGGCATCCACCACTGCTCCCAGATATTGGTTGAGATGGAGTCTCAAGTTTTTGCCAGGGCTGGCCTCATCTCAGTTTCCCAAGTAGCCAGGGGTACAAGCATGGAGCCACTGGCACCTGGCTCTTTATTACAATTTTAAAAAATGGTTTCTGGCCCATACCAAGATTTAAAAATGGGTTATTTTGGTCAACTTCCCAATATTTTGATGTGGCACAAAGCTGTCGAAAAAATAAATTCTAGCACTCCAAGAAAGATTTCCCATTTAGAAAACATGCCAAACTACTTCCAGGCTTTGTGTTCAGGGCAAGTGTTTCTTGTTTGCAGAAGAAACGAAATAGTTGACAAATGTCAGACTTCTCTTAACTGGTGAGCTTGCCCCCAGAAAACCTGGGAGAATCTGGGGAAGAAGAATTCAGTCCTTTGCTCCCCAAACATCTACCAAGTGCTGAAAATCGAGCCATAAAACCAGATAGACAAGGTCCCTAATAAGAAAGACTGTCAGACGATCATCAAGTCAACAAACAAATGTGACCCCTTTTTCCCAAAGATGGATGCCTTCCCTCCTCATGCACCTGTCACCGACCCCTGAGAGGCAGAGCTTTCTTCCTCAGTCCCCCTCTGGATCACTAGTCAAGTGACCACTGAGGCTTAGTGGGCTATGTGTCATTTATCTTCTCATAATAAGGAAATGCACATGAAAGCTGCAAGATATCACTTTCCACAAACCATGTTTTGTTTCGTTTCTTATGGTACCAGGGCTTGAACTCAGGGCTTTCACCTTGAGCCACTCCACTAGCCCAATTTTTTGTGATGGGTTTTTTCAAGATAGGATCTCACAAACTATTTACCCAGGCTGGCTTCAAACCGCGATCCTCCTGATCTCTGCCTCCTGAGTAGCTAGGATTACAGGCAAGAGCCACTGGCGCCCAGCCACAAACCATGTTTACAAAGATCAAAGCATTTAGCAATACTCCGTGTTAGTCCCCGTGCACCTCTCTTGGGAACTGGCACTGCCTCCTCAGGCAGCTGGGAGTCTCCATAAAGCACCAAAATGCACTTGCCCTCTCTCAGTTGCTGCAGGTATCCTTTGGGTATTTTTGCACATGAATCTATCAATAAATATTAGAAGGATACTCCTTACGAATTTTCTGTGATAATACAGCATTGGAAATAACTTTCGTATCTAGCAACTGGAGCATCCACGATTACAAAGAATGGACACACCTGTAAAAACAGATGTGGCACTGTCAACACACGATGGTGGGAAGAAAGACAAAACACATCGGTAAACAGGAATGTGCATCCTTCTGCCACCTGCAGGAAGGCCGAACAGGGATGTCTGCAGTATCAATTATTTTAGCACTTTTTTTCTTACCTGAGTCATTCTCTCAACAACCCTACAATATAGGGTTACAAACCAAGGCGTAGAAGCTGGGCACTTAGCTTATATTCAGTATGGGGCAGAATAAGGATTCGAACTTGTATCCTCACCCTCACACACCGTGTGTCAGCAGCCTAGCGAACTGGCACGTGTGTCGAGCCAGGGACTATTTCTAGAAGTCTGTACACAGACCTGGCAGCATTGCTTCTAAGGAGAGAGATCGAACCATCATCCTGATCTCATTTTCCCAAGTAGCTAGGGGTACGAGCTTGGAGCCACTGGCACCTGGCTTTTTGTTACAATTTTTAAAAATGGTTTCTGACCCATACCAAGAATTGAGAATGAGTTATTTTTGGTCAGCTTCTCAATATTTTGATGTGGCACAAAGCTGTAGAAAAATAAATTCTGGTGCTACAAGAAATATTTTCCATTTAGAAAATATTTTTGCTATGTGCCTTTTTTGTACTATTTGGGAAAAAAACACTGTATCTTACTGTAAGGATTATCCACTCAATTAATCCATAAATATTTTAAATAATTACAAGGATAAATGAAGACATAAAAAAATTCCCATGACTGTTACAGATCTAGGTAATATTTATAATTATTACGGATTTTAATGGTTTTGTTAATGGTATTATGTTTGTGGTTTTTTTCTAACTTGGAATGACTTCTTTTTTGTTTTTCCTGTTAAAAAATTTCTTTTATTCATATGAGCATACAATGTCGGGTCTCTCCCCTCCTCCCTGCCATCTTTTCCTCCCTTCCCCCCTTCCTCTCCCCCCCACTCCCCACTATGCTTGTGTTTTACAGTCCTTATCTGTTAGAAATGAAATGTAGATGGATGATGGGATGGATGGATGGATGATGAGTAGATGGATGATGGAATGGATGGATGGATGGATGGATGATGGAGGATGGAGGGAGGGATGAATGGAGGATGAATGGATGGATAGTGAATGTGGATGATGGATGGGTAGGGGATGAGGGATGGATGGAGGGTGAGTGGATGGATGAGATGAAGATATAGGATTATGGATGTGTGAGGTGGATGGATGGATGGAGTGGAGATAAATGGATGGATGGATGGTGAATGTGATGATGGAGGGGTGGAGATGGATGGATGGATGGATATAGGATGGATGGGATGGTGGATGATGGATGCAGAAAACTCTGCAGCTTTGTTTGGAGAGGTGAGGTGGTATCAATGTGGATGTTTTCTGGGTCCGTAATGGTCCTCTCTAACCCCTCTTCCTGGACCCAGCATTATTACCCCTCCCAGTCATAGCTGGTCCTTTGCTACAGTGTCCTACCCTCTGAGACAAGTCAGCCAACCTGGCCTGCTGCTCTCACACCTGGTCCTCGCAGCTGGCCAGCTATCAATTTGGTTTGTACCAGCAGCTATTAAAACCTTGCTTCCACCTGCCAGAGAGATAGTAGCCTCACCGCCCCTGCCAGGGGAGCTGGGTCAATCCTCTCTGAAGAGTGAGGCTCTGACTGAATTGACAAAAATGCAGAGAGAAGTTGCGCTGATTAGCCTCCTAGAATGAAAAGCCAGAAGCAAAAAATCATTGTCATGTGGAGCATTTTAACACTTAGGAAGGCTTTTAAAATCTCCACTCTTGTGAGAAAGTCACCCAGTGGGCCCTAATTCCTGCATGTTACACTTACATTTTACCCAGTTTCTTCTTCTTTTTTAATAACAAAATCCCTGAGTCTGTAATGATCATCCCACAACTCAGGTACAAACTATTACTTTTCTGACCAACACTAATATGACTTGTCCTTGCTGAAGCTGAGAACAAACCACTCAGATAAAAACCAGGAGGTGTCCTTCTAATGACATTGGTCACTGTGCATCTAGAGGTGGATTTGTGTGGTCTTCCTGTTCTTGTAGGTTTTTTATGACCACACACAGAAAGATTTTGAACATTTTGGTCTATGGAGGAGCTGTCATTAATTCAGCAAGTCGCTCTGACCTCTGGCTGCTGAGAACTGAAATGGAGCTATTTATTAAAGCAGGCAGCCTATGGCACCTTCGTAGCACAGCACTGTCTGTGGGCGCAGTGTCACTCCCCTTTCATTCTCTCACTACCAAAGATGTTCTGCTCTGAGTCAATGCATTTAGGTCTCCTTAAACCCTGCCCCCAAATGGCCTTCCTTCTCTGAATCATCACCAAACGTCTTCAAAGAGCTACATACGAGTAATAACAGCCAATGCTATGTAATTACACACATAGCACACTGGATTCTTACAACAATAGGAAGAAGATATTATTTTATCTTCCATGTACAGATTTAGAAAAACTGAGGCACAGAGAAGTTACGTAACTCACCTAAAGTCACAGAGAGATACAGCTGTGGTTGCTTTTACTCTCCCCCTCAACCCTCGTTTTTAGGAACTAATGTAAAATTAACAAGCAAAAACATTATTTTTAGTTCTGCAGGTTTTCACAAATACATTCAGTTATATAACCATCACCACATAAATGATGGATGGATATGGATGGATGGAAGGATGAATGGATGGAACAATTTGACCATTTCAAAAACTTCCCCCACCCCATCTCTATCCCCAGATCCTGAAAGTACAACTTTCCAAAATGGTGGAACCAGTTCTATTTCCCACTAGCTGTCTGCATTTTTGTCAGGACATGGTGGCTTTTAAAACTGGAGGCATTTACCATCTCACTGAAGTTTTAATGTGCATTTTCCCAGTCGCTAGTGAGGTTGAGCAACTTTCCATGAGTTTATTTGCATCATATATATAGCATT